CCCCTACTGGTTTCCTGTTCCGCTGCTGAGTCTCTCCCAACCTGTCTGAGCCCTTTCACCTCCCTCAGTTCAGCTTCTCTCCCCTTGCTGGTTCCCTCTTCAGCTGCTGAATCTCTTCCAACCTGTCTGAGTCCTTTCACCTCCCTTCCTTCCGATGGCAGTTCCCTGACAATTACCTGATAACAACAATCATCTCCCCCTGAATACTTGGCCTTCTATAGGCTGCATTCATTATTTAGTGTTTCTACAATAGCCTTCCCTTCTCTGATTTACAAGCCAGGATATCATGGTCAAATATACCGAGGAAATATAATTGTACTACAATATGTTATCATACTGAGGAAAAGCTATAGTTGACAAAGGGTCATAGGTCAGGGTCATAGAGCATCTGATTTACATGCAAAAGGTCCCAGTTTCAGTTCTTGGCATTTCCATGTGAGGTTTGGAAAGATACCCTATTTGAAATTCTAGAGAAATACTGACACTCCATACTGAGGCAGGTGGACTAATAGCTTAACTTGGCCCTATGTTCCTTGCTACCAACAGTTCAACATTAAAGGGACATGGAATTTCGTCTTTAGTTAAGAAGGGTAGCAGAAAAGGAGAGGGTATTCCACCACTCTAAATCTCAAGGATAGCTTATAGAAAATGTCACCTGTTGAGCTAATAACCTGGAATTTTGTATATATATTCTACCTGATGATGTTTATGGACGTGCCAAATTTTAACCCAATCTGATAAAAAAAAAGTCACCAGAACATTTTAATGAAAACTATTGCTCAACTGTTTTCAGGCTTGTCAAAGAAAGCACACATTTATTTATTTCAAAATGTCCTAAGCATCTGGATAGGCTTGTCTAAACAAGAATGTCTCTAGCTGACAAAAGCAGAGTGAAGCCAGCTGCTTGATCTCAATAGGCAGGGAGTTCCAATGTGTAGGTGCCACCACACTAAATGATCAAATGTGGAATGGGTATTATGCACCACCACCTGTAGTAGCACCAATTCCATCAGTCAAAGCATTCTCAACATTGGTTAAGGCTATCTTATGTTGGCTCAAGCTCTACAAAGCTGGCAAATTAGAATCTAAAGCTGCTGCCTCAACAGACATGCTTGCAGCCAGCAATGATGTTGTGCAATGTTATACTTGCTTACAACTTACTCTCAAACACGCTCACACATTCCCTTGGGCTTTCAGACCCAAATCCAGATGGGGAGGATGAAGTACCTGAGACTAGCAAAGATGCCCCACATTGTTTTGGTCCTGTCTTGCCTTATGGACCCACTGAGCCTTATTGTATTGCTAGAGGAATGCACTTGTGACTTGATTCCTGCCTGTATGCTGATGTATGTTCTCGCTCCCTCCCTCCCTCCATCTGTCACCCACTTCTGCCCACCCCAACGCTGGACATATTTTACCTCCACCAAACTCCGATGCACAGCTTGTTTGAAAAGGCAGAGCTCCTCAACTGTCAGAAAACCATATCTGATAAGGAACATCAAGGGCAAACAAGTAGGATGCACTCAAGATGCATTCCCAATTCCCAATAACCATCCCTGTAAATATAGTTAACAGCCATTAGTAACATATCATAGCTTTTGCATCTCATGCTCACTTTAGCCTATTTCCACAATCAGGGCAAGTCCACCAAAGTCCATTTCAAAGATCCTATTGTACAACAAAACCCAAATTCTCATATAGAGTGGCTACTAAAGTGTTCCAGTAAACAAATGTGGAAACATCTTGAAGGTTATGGTTCCTTTTGCAAGGAAAAATGGCAAGCCCAGGTACTCAAGTCAATGCCCATATATCATTTCTGCTATATATTATATATAATATTTTCCCCTTCATGAACATAATCCATAAATGGTTTCCATATCAACAGAAATAAATCTCATTCTGTATTCTGCAGATTACTCTTTAATAAGTCTCCTTCTACGACAGATTGAAAATCCATTCTCTGTTGTCCTTCCAGTGCCTCAAGCTAATTCTTTCCTCCACCAATATAAAACTCTGCTGTTTTCACTCTTCAAATGTCCTTTGGATCAGAGATATCATTCAACATTTATGAAAGATGTTAACCTTCCTGTGCTCAACCTTTCCCAGAACTCAGATGCAATCCCATCAGCTTCTTCTAACACTCCCTGACACTATTTGTCTGTGATTATATCCTAGATGTGGTTTTTAAAAAAAAAAAATTCAAAGAATAAGCATCATTTGTAAACCAAGGTAGGAAAAAAGAGGTACACAACCTCAGATGAAATTCATTCAGCACAACCTCTTGGATGTTCCTTATCCTTTGGTTCTCCAGTGTAAAATATTATTCTTTTAGACCAGAGATGAGGAACCTATGACCTTCCACATGTTGATGCAACTCCCATCATGACCATTGGCCTGCTGACTGGGGCTGACAGCAGCTACAGCCCAACAACATCTGGAGGACCACAGGTTCCCCATCCCTGTAATAGGCCCTATGTGAGCATCTCTCCTCCAGGTTTCAATTTCATCTCTCTTTTATTCGTCAGTGCCTGCTCCACCCATCTGTCCCTCAGATCCTAACTTTTCTAGCCTTCAGATCTCTTTCTAGTCCCTCAGATCTCTTCCCACTGGCCTTCATCTTCCCTGTTCAGCACAATTGTTACTGTCCTCTCTTCATTTCCACTGCACAGCCTTTCCTATCTCCACAGATTTGATTTTGCCAGCCAAAATGACTTTTCATTTCCCTTACCCAAACCACACTGTTAGTCAATATTCTATAGTTGACAGCTTCACCAGAGCAGTTAGAATGTACATAAATGAATCTGTGGCTGGATTAACACCATTCTTCAGCAACAGGAAGGAACATCTGCACAACAACACAACCTTGTGCTTGATATATATTAGGATATATTAACTACCATATTCTGCTTCTTTACTTGCAGTCATTGCAGTTTACAATTCCAGGTTTTCCAGCAAATGCACACTACTATAGATATTATTATTTATTTGTTTAGCCAAAACTATTAAATATACATCTGAAGGACGGGGGAAGATCACCGGCCTATGAATGCATTCATAGTATCAAAGGGTTACTAGTCTGTGTTAGGTGATTGTGAAGACATATCTTATTTAAAGGAAAGGGAGGGGTGTCTTTATCCAGGACACCCGCCGCTGAAGCTGCCTAAGCTTTTAACCGTGATCCACAGGTGATAGCAGTTGATGGGTCATATCCGTTCTCTTTTGTGGAAGCGCTGCAGAATCACCGTGGTGCCCCCTAGTGGTGGTGCCCCCTAGTGGTGTCTTGCATTTTGCATGAACGCAAAAACGTAAAGATGGAGTTATTGCTGCTGCTTGTCCCTCTGCTTAAAAGCTCAATAACTTTGACCTGCCCCCCCCCAAAAAATTGGGGGCACTGGGCAGATCTTTGCACCCCAGTGTTGCATATGCTAAAGATGGCTCTGGGAAAGGGCCTCTAGAATGATTAACGCATCCCTGGTGAAAATGTTAAGATGCAAAAAGTTGGGGTCCTCACTTCCAGTTTCTTATTTGTCTGATCTTCAGTTCAGTTTGCCACATTTCCACATCAATTTGTGTTTTTTAAAAAATAAAACAGAATAAACAGTCCTTTTGAATATTCACCAGTATTTTAATAAACATTCCTTCTAATATACACATCTTTCTATGCAACTTTGGCTAGTGTGCATATTTTTTAAAGCAATCTTACCTAATAATGCATTCTTGCATGCCATTTATTTGACTGGAGAACAGCATCTCAAAATTCAGAAAAGTGCAACTTTTCAAGGACATCTGCATTTTCATTCGCCTATTATTTCAGGAAGGGGAAACAGAGTTTCTTCCCCCCATCCCTAACTATGGACATTGATGTCAGAATCTTAGATAGCCTCATTGCCACACAGCTCTTCAAGTAAGCTTCTAGGGTGACAACTATTGAACCCTAATTACTATATATCACTCTGATTGATTGATATGCCGCCCTTCATCTGAAGATCTCAGGGAAGCTCACAGCATAAAAATACAGAATAAAACCACAAAGAACATAATAAGAATACAAACAAAACAATAATCCCCCCTCCCCCAAAAAATATACCCACATTTAAAAGGACATAGACGGTTAATCAGCCCAAGGCCTAATTGAAGAGGATGTATAATGAAAGCGACAAACCTCCCTGGGGAGAGCCACTTTCAACAACATGCCTTTAAGCATGTGTTTTAACAACATGCTTTTAACTTCTAACAACATGCCTTTAAGCATCCTGGAAGGAAGAAAGGCAAAAGAGGCTTGAGCCCAGGAGTCAGCCTCTTTTCCTTTTGGCCTTAGGCCCACCCCCGGCTGGCCGTCCTTTGTCCTCGCTGGCCAAGGTCGGGTCAAAGGCCAGCTCAAGCAGGTAGGTGGCACCCGCCCAGGTGAGCCTTGCTCGGTGCCGCAAACCCCGCCCACCTGTGGGGAAGGGAAGGCAGATATTGCACATTCTTTTCATGTTCCTCCCCTACAAAGGGAGAAAGATAGTGTTATGAGTTTGTGGGTGTCAGACCACTGTGAATTCCTGGACCAATAAGTGTTCTTAGATCTAATTAGCACAAACCCTGGGTAACCACCTGGAACCCCTGGAATCTTGCACAGCTTGGAGAATTTAGGTGGCGTGCAACAATATTATTTCTTCCCCGAACACCAAAATAAAGGCTCATGCAAAAAGAAGGGCAGAGCGATCATAAACTGCTCTATTTATGCAGGAATAGACACACAGCCACATCATGCCCTATCCAATCTGTGCTCCAGAAGGGAGGGAGAAAGCAGACGCAGATTAAAAAAAAGATGTTAAAATGACAGACACACCTCCTCCCTCAATTAGGGAATGGGCCAGCAGTGATGCCCACATGCCACCGATACACAGAGGGAGCCAGTGAAGTCATGATGGAGACACACCCTTGCATCACAATGTTCACAGCAATACCACAGTACAGGGGTGGGTGGTGCTCACTGGGACTGTTAGTGAGGAAGGCAGGGAACTCAACAGTAGGAACCAGATCCATTGACAGGAAGAAACAACTATTTTGTCCATGCCTTCTACCCTGCAGAGGCAGCACTGAGAATAAGGAGTAGGGAGCTGGCATACAGTTCCACCCACTGGAGCTCTAAAAAGGAAGTAAGGCAGGTAGCAACAAGCTGAGAGCAGTGGGGCAGGGCACTCTTCCCCCTAAGAGACCAACCCTTGAAACAAGTTTGGATTCTCTTGTGCTGCTCTCAAAAACTGTTTTAGGAGACCGGTACACACCCGGAGGAGGAAGGGGAGCCCAAAGAAAACACTGCACCCACAAAGCTCCCTAGGAACAACACCTGCAGAGAGCATACATAGTCTGTCTGAGCAAAGGACTCAAGATCCAGCTAGGAAGGGAAATACTCTTTTTATAAGCAGCCAAAAAACAGTCAAAGAGGGCAGCTACAGACCCACACAGACAGCATCCCATCCATGACTCCATCCTACTTCTGCCATTATGTTGCTATAGCCTCACTGGCGGAATTTCTCCCCTGGTAGGGCACTGTGCCAGTGCATCTAGAGTGTTCTGGTGGTGTATCTGTTATGGCAGTAGCATATCTTCATTTCCACCAGCACTGAAGGACCTTCTGCTGAATCTTATAACCTCTCACCTGAGAGATCTTCAATACAGACTTTAGGCCCACACTGCAGAGCAGCCAATCTTATCTACACAATGACAATTCTGCCCAACCTCCTCACCAAATATATTGGGTCCATAGAATTTCCACCTGTACAGATCCCCTATTGACACTCTCTATAATTATTGTAACCCTCACATTACACCATAGATTAATAGATCCAATTTCTAAGAAAGAGGCCATTTAAACAAGGCAAAATGATGAAACTCAAAAGAGGAAAAAGAGAAGTCTTTAGAAATAGTGGAGACCTGACATGCTAAATGAATGTTACTTGTGTCAAGTTGTTTATTTAAATGCATCTATTTAAAACATTTAACTAGGAATTTACCACTGAGATTAAAGGAGTTACATATATTTAGCCTAAGGAACAACATGATAACATTTAAACATCTAGCAGGCAATGTTTTAAATGAAGGAAGAAAGAACTGAGAGTGTTTTAGTAAGACTGGGTTGATGGGGCGGGGAGGAGTGCAAATCCACATTGTGCTTTGTTGTCCTCTTCTGGCAGAGCTAACAACTTGTGCTGAGGGCCTTAGCAGGTCTAAGGTTCCATCCACACTTAACAATTACTCTATGCTTTTTAGGCACAGGTCCATGCTTTAAAGCTCTGTGTCTGAACACACACACACAAACACACACACACACACACACACACACCCCGTGCTTTCCGCACCAAACCCTCTCTTTAATGCTAAATCAGAACAAACAGCAATTTGGGTTTTCTGCTGCGCAAAAGGTAGTTTGGAGTGATGAGCTGCTTGCTGATACAGGGAACAAGAAGGATGCTGTAATGTGTCTTGTAATGTGCTAATACCTCTTGCTTGCCTGAATTGAGATTATGCAGATGTATGGGTGCCTCTGGCTTTTGTGTGTAAGAGTCACATCTGTTGCTTGACTTACTTTTGCCTCTGGCTCCACCCAGTGCTGGCATGAGACATCCAGAAGTTTGCCTGTGAAGTTATGGGGCTGTTGGACTGAAAAAGGTTTCCCACTCCATCTTGCAGGATAGAACAGCCTTCACCAACCAGATGCTTTGGACTACACTTCCCATAAAAAGTGGTGTTGGGGGATGAGTGTTCAGACCCTGGGCTCTCACTTGTGGGGTGCCTCAGGGTTCCATCCTCTCCCTGATGCTTTTTAATATCTATATGAAGCCGCTGGGAGAGATCATCAGGGAGTTTGGGCTGGGTGTTCACCAGTATGCGGATGATGCCCAGCTCTACCTCTCTTTTAAATCAGAACTAGTGAAGGTGATGAAGGTCCTGTGTGAGTGTCTGGAGGCAGTTGGAGGATGGATGGTGGCTAACAGATTGAGGTAGAATCCTGACAAGACAGAAGTACTGTTTTGGGGGGACAGGGTGTGGGCGGGTGTGGGGGACTCCCTGGTCCTGAATGGGGTAACTGTGCCCCTGAAGGACCAGGTGCGCAGCCTGGGAGTCACTTTGGACTCGCAGCTGTCAATGGAGGCCCAGGTCAATTCTGTGTCCAGGGCAGCTGTTTATCAGCTCCATCTGGTACGCAGGCTGAGACCCTACCTACCCATGGACTGTGTCTCCAGAGTGGAGCATGCTCTAGTTATCTCCCACTTGGACTACTGCAACACACTCTATGTGGGGCTACCTTTGAAGGTGACTCAGAAACTACAACTAATCCAGAATGTAGCAGCTAGACTGGTGACAGGGAGCCACCGGCGGAATTATATAACACTGGTCCTAAAGGATCTTCATTGGCTTCCAGTGCATTTCTGAACACAATTCAAAGTGACCTTTAAAGCCCTAAATGGCCTCAGCCCTGAAGGAGCATCCCTACCCGCATCGCTTGCCTGGACACTGAGGTCCTCCTCTGAGGGTCTTCTGCTGGTTCCCTCATTGTGAGAAGCGAAGTTACAGGGAACCAGGTAGAAGGCCTTCTCAACAGAAGTGCCCTCCCTGTGGAACACCCTCCTTTCAGATGTCAAGGAGACAAAGAACTATACAACTTTTAGAAGACATCTGAAGACAGCCCTGTATCAGAAAGTTTTAATGTTTTATTATGTTTTATATATTCTCTAAGCCACCTAGAGCAGCTGGGGAAACCCAGCCAGATGGGCAGGGTATTAATAATAATAATAATAATAATAATAATAATAATAAGCCCTAGCCAACATGGCTGTATGATGATGGGATTGTCATGAGACATTCTTGTTGGCTAAGTATGGAGAATGTGATCCTGCAGGTGTCGCTACAGCTTCCATTATTCCTGACTATTGGCCATGTTAGCTGTGGTTGATGGAAATGGGGGTCCACCAGTATCTGGAGGGCCAAAGATTCCTCATCTCTCATGTAGATGTTACTAAAGTTTTGTTTTTGTTTTTTACTTGATCCAGATTAGACACCGTTAGAGTCTGTCACTGTTATTGTGGTTCCTCTTGCCTTTGTTTCCATGACATGCACACACACAAAAAACCTACACAACTCATTTGCTTGAATTCCCTTTCATGATATTTAAGAAATTATGCCCCACTTTTTGGAAAAAAACTTCTCTACAAAGCAGCTTACAACCATATTCAAAATCACAACAATATTACTGTATATAACAATCATAACATTTATAGCAAGAAGTACTGGACATGATGGCTGTATGAAAGGTTTGTGCATGGACCTCAAGATTTGCCTAGAATTTGGATCTATTACTGAGTCATTCTGTGCTCTCTCTGCTTCAGTCTGGGTTCCCATTTCCAAGTCGCTCTGTATAGAACAACGCTTTCTATTCACTACAGTGCAGAATTTAAAAATAGCTTTAACCACTTTCCCCCTTTGGGTTCAAGTGGATGAAATTTGCAGGAGGAGGAGCCCTTCCACAGTGGATTAAGCCAGCACAATTGCATGCAGATAACATCCAAAGGTTTCCATGCGGATCACTTTTACAATTGTTTTAAAACAGAGGAAAAGTCTATAATTCTTTCATTTTCTGCCAGAATTAGGTGCAGTTTGTAGGCATGGTCATCCTTATGAATCTGCTCAGCCATTGTGTACAAAGGATGTTTGATTAGTTGGCCTTTGGCTGTTAGATCCAGCAGTGCTTTTCTTAGGAATTCTCTTGACGAGATGGGGATGCTATTTAAAGCCAATGCTACAGGATGAGCCTTCATAGCCAATCTTGCCAGAGAGGGAGAGAGATATAACTCTCTCTTTTTTTCCAGAAGCCAGCATATTGATTGAATCCCCACCCCATATTCAGCCTAAATTAAACACTTTTCTCTTTTCAGGGCTGCTCCAAACTTTATTGAAGAGGGATTAGGTATAGAAAGCCTTAAGATAAAGTGTATTATTTCAAAATTAATTTAAAATATTGAAACAGAGCGCTCCAACTTTTTTGTTCCATAATTTTATGTGGTTAAATTATTATTTTTAAATATTTATCAATGGATTATGTTCTGACCAAAACACATTCTGACCCTGCACATTCAATAGAAACAACAAGTTTCACCCTTAGATTGTTATTTTGTGACCCTGGTTCCTCTTGGCAGATTTGCTTAGGAATTAAAAAATTAGCAGTGTATGTTTACTCAGAATCTAGTTCCATTGTTGTTATATGGGGCTTATTCCCAGGTTAGTGGATATATGTTCACACACACACACACAAATATCTCTTATAACTCAACCATCGGCCCTTCTCTTGGTATGTATCAGGGTGGGGAAAGAGAATTTACATTCTGCTGTGGTTACTTGTATTGCATGCAGCATTCTTTAATTTAGAGAGAAAACTGGATTTCCACGGCTGCACTCACACTGGTGCCATTATGAAATGCTATAACTTAGCAAACACTATGCATAACTTACCTCAGATCAAGGCCTTTCATCTTGTAGATTGCAATCCAAATCATGCTGTAAGTGTGTTTGTCATTCCCCACAGAAGCAGTTCATTTTATTCTGGGGGAAACAGAAGGGGAGGGGGGGGAGGAAAACCCTGCCATTTTCTGAGCCACATACTGAGTTTTGCATGGCTTTCTTTGCAGAAGTGCTCACACGGTTCATTAAGGAGAGACTATAGTACTGGGGAGGGCCCGGAGCTCAGCAACTGAGAACCTGCTTTGCATGCATAAGGTTTGTCTAATCCATGGAATCATTGGTTAAAAGGATGCCGTGTAGGATTTTTCTATCATAGATTTTTATTGATTTTCATAAAATTTAACAAATTCAATTCAGTTTCCATACTATAGTCCCTTAGCATTTTGACTTCCCATCCTCACTTCCATGATGTTTCTGTTCAAATCATTTTATCTACTGCCTTAAATAGAATACTTATTTCTGTAACATATATTCTCCATTACATATTTTTTTTTTATCATTCTCATTTCCAGTCCTACCTGCAATTTGGTTTAGTTATACTGTAATATTTTCTTAGGTAATCCGAAAAGGGTCTCCACTCTTCCACAAACCTTTCAATTTTTTGGTCTCTTATTTTTTGCCATCAATTTCATCATCTCCATATAGTCCAGTGTTTCCCAAAGTGGGTGACCTTGCAACCAGTCAAGGAGATAAGACTAACTGCGGCAGTTTCCTCTTCCTGGGAACTTCTGGAGAACTCAATACTGTAGACAGGAGGAGAGTGAGGGCAAAACAAGACTTAATTGCTTCTGCTTGGCACTGTCCCTAGCTCCCTGTTTGGGATTCCTGCCTTCCACCCTACCAGTCCCAATGGATACCAGACACCAATGGAATCCGGCAACCTGCTGCTAGTCAGAACCAAAATCATGAAGTAAACAGACCAATAGTACTTGGTAGTGCCATGCAGACATCCAGTGAATGTTTCTGTGGAGGGTGAGGACAGAATTGTGGCCAGTGTCCCTGATTTCCACATGGTCAATATGCACATTATATACACATAGGTTCTCTCTGTAAAATATGCAAAAGACAGGGTCCCAATGGTACATTATTCAGTTCAGCAAGATGGCAATTAAAGTGGTGATGGAGGAACCAGTCCCAATTCCTGCCCACAAATTCACCGAATCTCTGCACAAGGCTACCAAAAGGCAGTACTGTGTCACACTGGGGGACAGGGGGTGGGCAGGTGTGGAGTATTCCCTGGTCCTGAATGGGGTAACTGTGCCCCTGAGGGACCAGGTGCGCAGCCTGGGAGTCATTTTGGACTCACAGCTGTCTATGGAGGCACAGGTCAATTGAGTGTCCTGGGCAGCTGTCTACCAGCTCCACCTGGTATGCAGGCTGAGACCCTACCTGCCCACGGACTGTCTCACCAGAGTGGTGCATGCTCTGGTTATCTCCCGCTTGGACTACAGCAATGTGCTCTATGTGGGGCTACCTTTGAAGGTGACCTGGAAACTGCAACTAATCCAGAATGCGGCAGCTAGACTGGTGACTGGGAGTGGCCGCCAAGACCATATAACACCGGTCCTGAAAGATCTACATTGGCTCCCAGTACATTTCCGGGCACAGTTCAAAGTGTTGGTGTTGAACTTTAAAGCCCTAAACGGCCTTGGCCCAGTATACCTGAAGGAGCATCTCCACCCCCATCGTTCTGCCCATACACTGAGGTCTAGCGCCAAGGGCCTTCTGGTGGTTTCCTCACTGCAAGAAGCAAAGCTACAGGGAACCAGGCACAGGGCCTTCTTGGTAGTGGCACCCACCCTGTGGAACACCCTCCTATCAGATGTCAAAGAGATAAACAACTACCTGTCATTTAGAAGACATCTGAAGGCAGCCCTGTTTAGGAAAGTTGTTAATGTGTGACATTTTAATGTATTTTTAATCTTTGTTGGAAGCCGCTCAGAGTGGCTGGGGAAGCCCAGCCAGATGGGCGGGGTACAAATAATAAATTATTATTATTATTATTATTATTATTATTATTATTATTATCTAAAAAAATAACATCATCAGAAGAGGAGACTCAATCGTACAGGGCCCCTCTTGCATCACAGTATGTACCCTGCAGCCATGGAGGCGAATCCTATCACAGATCCCAGTAGCTTGTTGGGGAGTCTCTTAAGGTACTGGCCCTAGGATATAGCCCATTTGATTGCTCTGCCCTCCAGAGTCCTGAACAGACGCCCTCTTGCTCCAGACTCTCCACAGTCAAACCTGGTTTTTTAAAGCAGCAGTGGTAACAGAAAGCCTGAAGTGAAGCCCAAACCAAAAGATGCAGCACTTGACTCATAGCCTGAATTCTGTCCTGGAGGAGAAATCATGAATCTCTAGATCTAAGCTAGGATGGAATAGCAGTGCCTTTCACACTGAATGGATATCACTGGTGACGCATCTTTCTGGATGCTTGGCTGGACAGTTCCTGTGCCGTCTCAGCAATCTACTGGCCTCAGCTGTAGATAGGGAATCTGAGTCTTTCAGCCCCAACACTGACGGTGATTAGACAGACACCTTGATAAGTTCAGTCTCTGTGGTGTGGCTCTCTAGTAAATGAAGTACTCCCATCAATTTTGCTACCCTCTTCCTTTGTCAGAGGAGAATAAGCACAGTAAACAAGTTTCTGCAGGGTAAGAAAGGACCCACTTTAACAGCAGCAGTGAAGAACAAAAATTAATGCAAGAAACTCATACAGCATATGTCATTGTCCGGTCTTGGCACCAAATTTCCTTGAACAAATTTCAGCTAAGCATGCCGACTGATAAATCCATGAGCATAAAGTGTAAATCTCTCACTCCAAGAGCCTATCTCGCCTAACACCACCCTGTTTATTGCCTATGTACTGCAGTTGCTGCACAACACTGTACCCACTTAGCATAACAATTCCATATTTCAAATCCAACTGCAGGTAACACTAATTACAAGAGAATGTTGTTTGGCATCTGCATTGAATGTATTTGTAAGCCTAACACAGAATTATCCATGAATGTTAAAAGATCTGTTGCTTATTAATGAGTGCAACACCCGTTCTATTCAATATTTTTGGGCATGTTTTGGTCCAGCTTTCAAAAACTGAATATATCAGTCTTACAAATGCTGGCTCTGCTGCTACAGATGTTGTCAGCCAACAGAACTGGGAGGGCATTGGGGTGGGGGTGGGGGTGGGGGATAGAGGGAAGTTGCTGGCAAAAGCGGAAGATTTTTTTATTGTAAAACTGCATAGAAAAATGATGAATTGTCTTTGTGATATGTACACAGGAAGGAGGAGGGCAAATGCTTTTGGCAGCCAAGTTAGATCTCGTTTTCTCCTCCTTTCTCTGCTAATAGATGCGAAATGGCTCGTGCCATTGTCCAGTCTTTTGAGGATAAGATGACTGCACTGTCAGATTTTTATCCCCCACTGATGACTCCTTTTTCTAAAGTGGGAATACGGAGAACAAACTTCCCTTTAGATCTCTGTCGGTGGAGTAAGGCTCATGTATTCCCCAAGGATGGACTCAGGTAGCATTAAAACAATAAGCCCCTTCCTTTCTAGATATGGGATGGACCTTGAGGGGATTGAAGGATACACACAGGTGTAGGAAGTAGGTCAAATGGATGAAATATTTGATCATAGAACTGGAAGGGATCATGGAGGTCATGTAGTCCAACCCCCTGCTAAATACAGGATCTGCAAATTGGATGGATGAAACTACAGCCAGTTTGGGAAACCTTTGGCGCTCTAGATGCTGCTGAACTACAACTCCCATCCTTACCAACCATCTCCCACACCTGAACTACAGCATGCCTGACAGACACCCACCCATTATCCCTGACCATTGGCACACTTGCTGGGACTTATAGTACTTGCAGTCTTGCAACATCTGGAGGGCCACAGGTGCCCAATCCCAGATTTAGATAACACCATGTATATATTTACTTTGGAAATGTTCTGAGGACTATGTATAGCACCCTATAGATCAAAGAATGTGCCATTCTTCTCTGTGCCTCTTTGTCCACACCAGGCACTCTGGCAGCAGACACCCTGCTGTGTGTGCAGCTGCCTTCTCCCAGGTGAATCAAGAGCAGCCAAGGGGGCAACCAGTGCAGCAGTGAGCCAATGTGTATGGTGGCAGGGCCAGCCATGGTGCAAGAAGCATGTGGCTCGCCATCCTGAGACGCCAAAGGGGGCAGGCAGAGAGAGGGGGCTCTGTATTGGAAGGGAAGGGCCCCAAAGAGATGCATGTGCTGCATGTTGCTGCCAGAAAAGAGAGCCACCTCCCTCCCAACCTCACAGCACCTTTGGGACCACTGTGGTCCAGTTGTGCCCTTCAGAATTTCTGCCTGGGGTGATGTCCCCTACTGCCTCCCCATGCTATGCCTCTGCAGTCAACCAAAATACCAGGAAAACCAATCAAAGAACTGGACAACTTGGATGATAGGTCTCTGAATGACTGTTAGCAACAACAGGTAAAAAGGAACTCTAGTTGGAGAGGGGGAATTGGAGAGGGCTGGTGTTTGTGAACTTCACTGGATGCTAAATGGATTATCTCTCAACAGCAAGTCAGCATTCCACGGCATGTAGGACACTCTGTCTTCATTGGGCTGTTCTTGATATTCCCCCATTAAGTCCCCCACCCCACTAAAGATTTTTGTACTTTTGAAAATCTTGAGGTTGCCCTAAGATGGCTGATACCTCCCTCTTGTTTATGGGTGATGCCATTCTGGCTACATAAGGAATGGCACTCACAGCCTAGACATCAGAAACAGATAGAAAGGTGATAAACAGAGCTCATATTTAAAGCCTCATGAGATCCATCAGTGAGAATCCAGGATATATGACATCACACCAGAACAAATGGTTGTTCTGCAGCCAAGGATATATGGCTACAATATCTTTTGACACAGTCTCCCGAACTACTTATGAGTGGAGACTGCATAGAGTAACACCTGGTTGCTAACACACAATTGTTGCTCAATAAAGCAGTAGTGAGTCTAGTATGAGCAGTAATGACACAGAAGAAATAGAAGAAATGGCAAGTTTAGCTGAATGCTTCTATCTGGCTGTCAAAAGAAAAAAAAATCTGAAAAGGAGCTGTGATGTTTATAGCATTCACTGTCTGTGATGTTAGCTGTAGAAGCAGCAATGAGAGGAAGAAAGTGGTGTGAAAATACAGATACAAGGGAATGTTTACAGCAGATTTTTTTCTCCAACACAAAATAAGGGCCAAAATAATATCTGAAATAAGAGCAGTGCCTGTTGTATGAAGGCAGCTCGTCTTCCTTATGCTCCCTGATCGCACTCTTAACCCCTTAGAAGGCCCAGGAGTGGATTGGTTTGTATTGGAGGTCGGATGTGGGTGGGGAAAGCCATTTCTTTGCAAAAGAAGGAAAGAAATTACACAGAGATGCCAGGCATTAAAAAAATTATTGAGCCAATTATAGCACTACTTAGTACAAAAAGAAAGAGGGAAGGAGCAAAATGCACAAAATTAATCATGGATGCATTTGACCCACAATGCTTGTAATGAGTATTTAAACACTCCTTTTGAGAAGAACGGGGGAGGGAGAGAAACAAGCAAAAAAATAAAAACCCCAACTCCACAAAAAACTGGTTATACTAAAAAGTCAATTCTGGAAATTGAATTATTATTTCCTTTTCTGTAATTAATTTTAGCCTAGAAGAGACATTAAATACTGCTTCACAACCTAAATACATTGTTTGGGAGAGCTCAGAATGGAGACATTATTTCCCAGTTATTCTTTTTCATTCCAACTCGACACAGATATTTATTTATTTATTTATCCTAAAGCAATAGGTATATAGAGAAAAAAGGTAAAGTATAGGGGTGGGGAATCTTCCCACTTCTGGTGGGAGGCTCCCACTAGCAGAGGGAATGGGAAAATTGTCCCTGCCTTACAGGGCTCCTGATCTGAGTTCTCTGGCTCCTTATAACAGAAGCGGCACATCACACATTCAGGCACATGGTGCTAATTGGATAGACTTCATCCTGAATATACAGTGGTACCTCGGGTTACATACGCTTCAGGTTACAGACTCCGCTAACCCAGAAATATTACCTTGGGTTAAGAACTTTGCTTCAGGATGAGAACAGAAATCGTGCAGCGGCAGCGGGAGGCCCCATTAGCTAAAGTGGTGCTTCAGGTTAAGAACAGTTTCAGGTTAAGAACAGACCTCCAGAACAAATTAAGTTCTTAACCTGAGGTACCACTGTAATTTCATTCTGATCTCTGCACTAAAGGGGATTTTAGAAATGCATATCTGTTAATCAACAAAATATTTCTAACTGAGGAGTTTAGAAACCTCTATGTCCTCAGTGCTAAAATAGATGTTACTTTCATAGTGTGATTAGGTAAAGGTGAAGGACCCCAAGATGGTTAAGTCCAGTTAAAGGCGACTCTGGGGTGTGGCACTCATCTCATTTTTCAGGCTGAGAGAGATGGCGTTTGTCCACAGACAGCTTTTTAGGTCATGTGGCCAGCATGACTAGACCACTTTTGGCACAACAGGACACCATGACAGAAGCCAGAGTGCACCGAAACATTGTTTACCTTCCTGCCACAGCAGTATCTATTTATCTACTTGCACTGGTGTGCTTTCGAACTGCTGGGTTGGCAGAAGTAGGGACAGAGGAACGGGAGCTCACCCCGTCATACAGATTCAAACTGCTAACCTTCCAATCGGCAAGCCCAAAAGGCTCAGTGGGTTAGACCACATCACCACAGCAACTATATCAAGAGATGCTTTTAGTAGGCACAAGAGGTGGGTGCAACTTTCAATGGAACTATATCACGGGGGGGGGGGGTGTTAACCCTTCCTTTCTCCAGCTGGGGCATTTTGGTGCTGGGAGATTGGGAAGTGCCTGGACCCTTTAAAAAATACAACCTTTGACTGAGTGCTCCAAGAACTAGGGGTGAGCCAAGAAATTTTGGCGCTTGAGGCAAAAGGCAAGATGGCATTTTCCCTTCCCCATTCCATAATGCTGAAGCTTATTGGACTGGCAGTTGAATCTTACTTTAACTCTGGTTATCAGGAAATGCCCAAGCAGCTGCCTAGCTTAGGTGGTGTTTGGCAAGCTGAACAGCCTACATAGCTCTGCCTTCCAACACAGGTGAATGACTTAGGAAGGATGGCGGGGGAAGGAAGTGAACTTCTGCTGCTTAATGCATCCACAAACCTGCTTCCTGAGGCAGCAACTTCCCTCTACTCTTGACTGTAGTACCTCAAGGACTGCCTCTGCCCCATATGAACCAACCTGGACCCTGTGGTCATCTGAGGCCCTTCTTCGCGTACCTTCCCTCCACAAGAGGGGTATTTACAACGCAGTCAAACCAACAATGCAAGGATATCTTATAAGTTGTGTGTCCTTGTTTCTCAATTTGATCCTTTTACATGGTTTTGTATGGTTTGTGGAATTTTATGTACTGTGATTTGCTGTTATTTTTCTTGATTATAGATTAGTCATTCTTTATTGTAATTGATAAGTGTAAACTGTTTAATTATCATTTGCTGATGTTTAACTTTACTGTTTACCAATAGATTTTAATAGATTATTGAATATTGCTTTATTTGATACAAGTTTATTTTAAAGTTATTGTGACCTTTTTATATTGGATCAGATTGTTACTATTTGGTGTTTTATTGTGTTTCTATGTGTGTTGGAAGCTGCCTGGAGTGGCTGGGGCAACTAAACCAGATGGGCGGTGGATTAATAATAATAATAATAATAATAATTACTACTACTACTATTATTATTATTTCTAGGTAGGCACATGATAGGAGCTGAATCTCACATAGCTTCCCTGTAAGATTGCTAGAGAGAACTCTGAGAGACACTCCCATTGTGCCCTGATGGGGGAGGGTGTAGCCATATAAAATCTCCTCACCTGTCTTGGCACTTCCTCTTTGCTCCTTCACCTCAGGTAGAACATATGCTAAGTCTAAGCCACAGTTCTGACTCCATTTTAAACTAGACCAAAGTATGTCTTTGTAACTGGATTACCATTTTAAGCCTGCCTGAAGAACGCTGCTGTTATCTGTTACTCTTCAACAAGTATTCTGAGTGAGTAAATGTTATTTTTTCCCTTTCAAGGGTTGCCATATTTCAAAGAGCAAAAAAGAGGACACATTTGACGACTTCTACTTTTAGCTATGGATTGCTATGACGACTCTCATTTTACATACCCATGAAAAAGAGGGTGCATCCTGGAAAAAGAGGACAGATGGCAACCCATAGAGGAAATAAACTTTACAGAAGGCACTGAGTTAAAAAATATATATGAGGGGGTACTTAGTGCAATAAGGGGGGACCTCAGGGAATGGTTGCTGCACATGTTCTGCTGAAAAGAGAGAAATTAATCCCCTTAAATGTGGGTACATGCACACCTCTCTGTATTGCAGCTATGAGTCTTTGCCGAGGGTATTATTAACTTGGACCATGTCCTGTGTGCAGGAGAAAAGTGACAAACTGGATACTTGCGATCAGTATTAAAATTCTGGGTGGCTGTTAAAGTGTTTTGGAGACAGAGAGCGAGACAGAGAAAATATACTTTACAGGATATGAAACAGCTGCCCTTCAGCTGGTGTCCCTCACAGATTGCATCTATCGCTTACAGATTTCACAGATTACATTTGTGATGCATGTTACCCTGGGAAGTCAATCTGACCAGACAACACGAGAGGCTTAAATTCAGCCCAACTTTATTCTGTCTGGTTTTATAGAACCTAAGTGAAATATTGCCACTAACTGGCAAAAAAAAAAAAAAAAAGTTTTCCCATGACCCAGTGATAGAAAAATGATTGAGAACTCTCAGCTTCTTGATACTATGTTGCCAACCTCCCCTGAACAGTTAATCAAACTTTTAATTGGGGAGGGGGGCAGACAATCCGCTCACTGTTTGAAAGTACACATGAGACTGCCACATTCAGCTGTTTTATAAAGGAGCTCTAGGAAGAATGCTGATGGGGTGGTGACAAAATTCAGTTCACATTTAAAGGCAACCCTAGCTAATTAACATTTTCCAAAACAGTAAATGAGCCAAAGCATAGTCTGCCAATGAAATTTACATAGCTACAAATTTTGCAATGCAGTTCTCCAGCCAAGAAAATGATATACTAGGGTAAAGTGTGCATATAAATGTATGTATTAATGAAAAGAACATACAAAAATGCATTATATTAGGTGACACAGGGCTCTGCCCCTGCTCTCTCTGCTCACCAACCCCCTCTGCTAACTCTCCACCCTTTACATCTCGAACAAAAAACTGGCAGCACCACTCACAACCAGCAACCTCCCACAGCACCCGTCACCCCCATGGTGCCCATCTGCCCCTCACCTGACATCACAGTAACATCAGGCGATGCTTCCCTTTGAAGCCCCAATTGCTGGGACTTCAAAGTGAGACATGGGGCTTTTAAACAGTGCTTTGTAAACACCCCCCCAAGGAGATGTTTACAAAGAGCTTTCAAACTTCACAGCTGGTTGGATTGGGGGAACTGGATGCCCATCAGCAAACTAACCATGCCTGAATGCAGCTGGGGGAGGCACTCCTCTCCCCGCTGCAGGCTGGGTGAAAGATCTTCCCAATCCACTGGACAAAAGTTCTCCCCACCCCTCGCCAGGTGAGTTTCATGGCTAGGAAGGGGCAAGCACTTTGGCCAGCATTTTGCTATCCATCCTCAGCCATCCATTAAGGAGATGAAGGTTATCACATAGCAGGAAGACTTATGTGGAAATGCAGAAAAGTGAACATGATTGGGGGCAAAGAGAACCAAAGACCCCCCCTCTGCACCATACATTTAAAGTGCTATACTGTGGTACCTCGGGTTACATACGCTTCAGGTTACATACGCTTCAGGTTACAAACTCCACTAACTCAGAAATATTACCTCGGGTTAAGAACTTTGCTTCAGGATGAGAACAGAAATTGTGCTCCGGTGGCACGGCAGCAGCAGGAAGCCCCATTAGCTAAAGTGGTGCTTCAGGTTAAGAACAGTTTCAGGTTAAGAACAGACCTCCGGAACAAATTAAGTACTTAACCCGAGGCACCACTGTAATACCACTTTAAACCGTCATGGATTCCCACAAAGAATCCTGAGAGCTATAGTTTGTTAAGTATTCTCTAAGGATTCTTAAAGGTAAAGGGACCCCTGACGGTTAAGTCCAGAATCTGGGGTTGCAGCGCTAATCTAGCTTTACTGGCCAAGGGAGCTGGCGTTTGTCCGCAGAGTTTCCATGCCATGTGGCCAGCATGACTAAGCTGCTTCTGGCGAACCAGAGCATCGCACGGAAATGCTGCTTACCTTCCCACCAGAGCGGTACCTATTTATCTACTTGCACTTTGACGTGCTTTCGAACTGCTAGGTCGGCAGGAGCAGGGATCCAACAACGGGAACTCACCCCATCACGGGGATTCAAACCGCCGACCTTCTGATCGGCAAGCCCTAGGCTCTGTGATTTAGACCACAGTGCCACCTCAGGACTCTTAGGAGGCCCCTATTCCTCACATAGAAGGACAATTCCCAGAGTGCCCTGTGAAGAGAGATTGATTGCGCTGTGAGGGGAATAGGGGTCTCCTGACAGTTCCCAGAACCCTTAACAAACCACAACCCCCTGGAATCTTTGGGGAAAGCCCTGGCTAATACGATGCTGTTTTAAGTGTATAGTGCAGATGGGGCCTTAATCTTTGTTCAACACCTATGCAATGTTAAGTGCTTTTTGTGGGATGTAATCCACGGGAGCAGTCAAATACAACATTTCTTTTTTGCTAGAGTGGGCATGCAAGGGAATGTTTAGTCTTGCCAGTTGAAACTTCCTCTTCCTCCTGGCCTGGAGCATCCTCCCTTGCTTATGAATAAGACTGTGATGTCTTTATTCTTTTAGGAGGGATTTAAAAGGGGATCTTACCAGGAACATAGAATTCCATCTGAGGGAGATTAAACTGCATAATAGTAAGAGGTTCTAACGAGCATGCAACAAGTTTTCTGCTGTATGAAGGGGAATGCACTCTGCTAAGTAAAGGAACTTGCTAGTGCAAGTTAGGAAGGATATTAATAAAATTCTCCTGCCACCCTGAACATTCCCACACTTTTATAAATAAATAAGAACATTCCTCAGAACCACAAAATAGCAACTGCTCAGTTAAGCATTCCAATCCCCACTCAGTCATGAATCTCACTGGGTAACCTTGAGCCAGTCAAGTCACTCTCAGCATAACCTGCCTCACAGGGTTTCTGCGGGAATAAAAGGAGGAGGAGAGAATGGTTTGTAATGGTGAGCATCTTGGAGGAAAAAGGTAGTGTATAAAAGTAGTAAATAAAATAAAAAATATATAAAAATATGACTTGTTATGACATTTGTCATCTACATAGTGACAGTCAGTGCACTAGCATTTGTATAACAGGAAAGGGGTCGGAGAGCAGCATATGCAGCATTTGCAAAGTTCAAAAGAAAGAAATACCTTTCTGTATGCATTTGCAAAGTTCGCTTTGTGAGTTAACTGTGATCCAGCTCAGTGACATGAAGGCTTTGAAAGATTTAAAAGAGAAAGATGTATCATACCAATATAACCACTTTCTCTCTGCACAACAGAACACAATTATGAAACAGCAATGAGCAAGTGATGGAAAGATAAGTAGCAATTAGATTTCCCTTGCTTGTGACTCTGAAACCTTATGTTCCTCACTTCCTGGAACCAATAGGTATAGCAGGACTTCTTTCTCTAATTGGATTCTCCCCCCTCCCCCAATGAGCCTTTAAACTCTTGCTGGCAATAAACCTCTACTGTCTGCCTATATGGTGTGATCATCAGACTTTTGAGTGGCAGAGGGTGGGGTGGGATAGGGAGAGAATAAAAAAATAAAAAAATAAATAATAAAATAAAATAAAATTTATAAAAAAATAATAATAAATCCTATTTTAAAATTACTCTCTCAGATGCAATGAAGGAACAATGCAGTCCATCAACGCATAACGGAGACACTTTGCAATTTCTCTGTCGTAATCAAACCAATAGGAAGAAAATATCTTGAAGTGCACTGTGTAGTATCGGGAGGGAAATGGAAAGCAAACAACAAATTAGAAAGACAGAGCTTTGGAGTGGAAGTTACTTTGGGTCAAAGGGAATAAGGATGTAAAAATGGAAACAGGTTTTAAAATATGCTTGCTGTTTTCATAGATCAAACCGAATACTAAAGGACAAACAGTGCCAAACAAAAGGGAAAGCAAATTTATACAAAGGATAGGAAGGAACGGTAAGAAATTAGATTCAGCTATGGTGTTGGTTCCATGTAGTATCAGGGTGAGTTTACCCATTCAGCATATAGCTACATTTCTGCAGCCAATTACCTGGCTTTCTGGGGGACACCTGTGGCTTTTGTTTATAAATATAGGAGTAGTCACATTCAATGAGTGTTCTGTGTACACAGTAGCTGACTTGTTTAAGTCAACAAGTGTACACTCGCAAACACACAAACAATTGTTTCACACAAGCTCTTGTGCATGTGTAGGGATGGCAAGTGCCTATGTTCAATGTAATGTGTGCACAAGCTAAGAATAGGGGATAAATATGGTTCCCTTTGCATTTAAATGCAAATCTACTTAATTTTCACTTTCCAAAGATATGCATGAACTGAGAAAATCATCCTTCAGAATCTGCACTTCTTCAAATCCTCCAGCCAAGCAATGGATACAAAAATGCATTTACTGGGGGATGTGTGCAAAATATGCATTTATTTGTGAAAGCAGCATACAAAAATATTCTGCAAAAATGTGTATATTGGGGAAAATTGCATATACACACATATACATATGAAGTATTGATAATATTAAATGGTATATATGAACTGCTAGCAGGGGAAAGGGGTTAAGCTTTGTTTCAAAACTTCCTCATATCCTTGCTTTAAAAAACACATATTTCTCCCTTATTTTATAGCTCAGGTGTCCCCCCCCCCCCAATGCGCATTCTTGGGATGATGGAAGAAATGTATTGGGCTTTTGTTTTTGATAGTGAATTCTTATTGTTTGGGATTATATGGCTCCCCTTAATTTTACACCTGGGTAGAGAGCAGTTCAAGGAGGTCAACTAAATGATTGGTTCAACACTCAGATATATAGGCCGTAACTCTGCTTGCTCCTAGACACAATTTTTGTAAACTTAGGTCATCTAAAAAAGCCACAACAACCCAAAAATGATAATAACCCCAACACAAACAGCAATGCCATCAGACATCTTGCAACCAGAATGTTATGCTAGGCTAAG